GCCCACGTGCCACAACTACTGAAGCCCTCACACCTAGAGCCCATGCTCCACAAGGGAAGCCACTGCAGTGAGAAGCCTGCGCACCACAACGAAGGGTAGTCCCCACTCGCCGCAACTAGAGAAAGCCTGCGCGCAGCAACGAAGACCCAACACACCCAAAAATAATAAATAAACACTAAATGTTAGTTCTTTTAAAAAAGAAAAAAAGGCATTATATGGGAAACAAAATGAAAAGACAAGCTACAGACTAGGAGAAAATATTTGCAAATGATGCAACAAACAAGGGCTTCATTTCCAAAATATACATACAACTCAATATCAAAAAAACAAACAACCCAATCAAAAAATGGGCAGAAGACCTAAACAGACATCTCTGCAAAGACATACAGATGGCCAACAGGCACATGAAATGATGCTCAACATCACTAATTATTAGAGAAATGAAAATCAAAACTACAATGAGGTATCACCTCACACCGGTCAGAATGGCCATCATCAAAAAGTCTACAAAGAATAAATGCTGGCGAGGATGTAGAGAAAAGGGAACCCTCCTGCACTGTTGGTGCAGCCACTATGGAGAAGAGTATGAAGGTTCCTTAAAAAACTAAAAACAGGGACTTCCCTGGTGGTCCAGTGGTAAAGAATCCGCCTTACAATGCAGGGGACGCAGGTTTGATCCCTAGTTGGAGAACTAGGATCCCACATGCTGCGAGGCAACTAAGCCTGCATGCCACAACTACTGAGCTCGTGCACCTCAACGAGAGAGCCCACATGCTGCAAACTACAGAGCCCACACGCTCTAGAGCCCGTGTGCCACAACTACAGAGCCCATGCACCCTGTAGCCTGCACACCACAACTAGAGAAAACCCACACACCAACTAGAGAGAAGTCCACGCACCACAACAAAAGATCCTGTATGCCTCAACGAAGACCCGATGCAGCCAAAAATAAATTAAATACATAAATAAAAAATAAATCTTGGGCTTCCCTGGTGGCGCAGTGGTTGAGTCCGCCTGCTGATGCAGGGGACACGGGTTCATGCCCTGGTCCGCGAAGATCCCATATGCCGCGGAGCGGCTGGGCCCGTGAGCCATGGCCACTGAGCCTGCATGTCCGGAGCCTGTGCTCCGCAAGGCCACAACAGTGAGAGGCCTGCGTACCGCCAAAAAAAAAAAAAATGAATCTTAAAAAAAAAGAAAAACACCCTAAAAACAGAGTCACCGTGTGATCCAACAATCCCACTCCTGGGCATATTCAGAAAAGATGAAAATTCTAATTCAAAAAGATACATGTGCCCTGATATTTATTCATAGCAACACTATTTACAACAGCCAAGACATGGAAGCAACCTAAGTATGGCCATCAAAAGATGAATGGATAAAGAAGATGTGGTACACATTTACAATGGAATATTACTGAGCCATAAAAAAGAACAAAATCCCATTTGCAGCAACACAGATGGACCTAGAGATTATCATACTAAGTGAAGTAAGTCAGAAAAAGACAAATATCATGACCTATCATATCACTTACATGTGGAATCTAAAAAAAGGATAAAAATGAACTTATTTACAAAACAGAAACAGACTCACAGACATAGAAAACAAACTTATGGTTACCAAAGGGGAAAGGGTGGAGGATAAATTAGGAGTTCGGGATTAATAGATATACACTACTATATAGAAAACAGATAAACAATAAGGAACTACTGTATAAGCAAAGGGAATTATATTCAATATCTTGTAATAACCTATAACAGAAAAGAATCTGAAAAAGAATATATATATACAAAATATATATCACTAAATATCAATGAATCACTTTACTGTCCACCTGAAACTAACACAACATTTTAAATCAACTATACTTCAAAAAACCAAAGCAAAACTGCAAGACCTAAATTCCTTTCCACTCAAAAAAATCTTAAACCACACATTTTGATTGTTCAACTAAAGGAATAAATGTCTATTAATTTTTTAATTAAATAGTGAGACCACTACATATCTATTAAAATGACCAAAATTTGCAAAACACCAACAGCACCTAATGCAGGTGAGTACATAGAGCGACAGGAACTTTCATTCATTGATGACAAATGCAAAATGGTACAGCCACTCTGGTAGACAGTTTTGCAGTTTCTTATAAAACTAAACATACTTTTACTATATGATCCAACAATAACACTTCTTGGTATTTACACAAAAGAGTTGAAAACTGACGTCCACACAAAAACCTGCACACGGTACACAATATGTTGATTTTTTTTTTTTGAGGTATTTTTTTGAATTGATACAGGAGCTTTATTCTGAATTGCCAAAACTTTATTCAAATTACTCCAGAATATAATTGCCAAAACTATTCAACACTGCGATGAAGATGTCCTTCAGTAGGTAAATGAATAAATAAACTGTGGTACACCCAAACAATGGAATAGTATTCAGCATTAAAATGAAATGAGCTACCAAGTCATGAGAAGATATGGAACAAACTTAAATATATATTACTCAATGAAAGAAGCCCATCTGAAAAGGCTACATTCTGTATGATTCCAATTATATGACACTCTGGAAAAGGCAAAACTATAGAGACAGTAAAAAGATCAGTGGTTGTCAGGGGCTGAGGGGAGGGAGGAATGAATCTGTGGAGCACAGAGGATTTTTAGCGCAGTGAAACTACTATGTACAACACTACAATGGTGGATACACTTCATGTTTGTCCAAACCACAGAATGTGTAACACCAAGAATGAACCTTAATGTAAACTATGGACTCTGAGCAATAATGATGTGTCAATGTAGGTTCATCATTTGTAACAAATGTACCACTGTGCTGTGGGATGTTGATAATGCGGGAGGCTATGCATACAGGGACAGTGCATTTATGGGAAATCTCTGTACCTTCTGCTCAATTTTGCTGTGAACCTAAACCTGCTCTAAAAAATAAAGTCTATCCAAGAAAAAACAAAAACTATTGTACTGAGGATGTCATTTTCAGTAAAGTGCTTTATAAAATAATATCCCCATGGTATCCAACAAGGATCATGACTATCTTCATCTGTGTGTGAGGAGAGAGGGAAGACAGAGCTGGGAAACTGCCCCCTAAGAGGGCATCCCACGAGGGAAGCACTGGCACAGGATGCCTCTGGGTCAAGAAGTAAGCCCTGCTGAAGGCTCTGCTCTGATCCCACAGTGACCACTAACCCCAAATACATACAAGTCTCCTCTCCTCACTCTGCTCAGAAACCCATTTCCTGGGATTATGAATTATCTCTGAGCTCTAATAAAATGCATACTTAGCCAGTTAGAACATTCTACCAAAGACAGTGGCGATCAAGAGAGTATACACAGAGGACTGTAAGGTGAGTCTGTTTTAGCTTGTTGATTCCAGGTGACAGGGTTTACTCAAGGATTCAATTTAGAGGAGAAAGTAGAGGTTCATAACCTATAAAGCCCGATAGTGGAACACATACCTAAATCTCAAACTGGCAAAACAAATCACCCTTGCTTAGTCAGTACTAAGTCCTGTCAGAAAAAAACATGAGTCACTGGCCCATAGTATTAGACTTGCACAAAAAAAATACTTTTAAAATTATCACTTGCAAAAATTTTGCTCTTAAAAATTATTTTAAGTCTTAAGTACAAGCTGCTGGGGAAGAATGCTAACAGAAAGCTATTCCATTAGCCCTAACCACTGAGCATGATTTACCAAAGAATAGGGGAGAGGTGAGGATGAGAGAGCAATGGCAGGGCAAAAAGAAGAAAAGTGTGCTTCCTCTTGTCCTATGGTGGCCCCTGCCCTCACTCAGGGCACTTCTGTGCCCTTTAAGAGGATATAGAGCACCAAGACCAAGCAATACCATAGTGGAAGAAAAAACAGAAATGAATCCAAGATCTGGAAAAAAGATATTTTATCTGCTTTATTATCTACAACAAAAATGTAAAAACCTAGTCATTCGTTTTCAACTTTATATTACTCAGCAATAAACATTTCTCAGATTTGTCTAGAGAATTGGGCCAAGAGAGCATATGCTTAGAAAAAGAATGTGGTGTGAGCCTAGCAGACAGGAAAGATCTGCTGAAACTCAGAAGTTTAAGAACTCTTCATAACTGACATGAACTCTTCATAACTGACATCAACTGACACACCACACAGACAAGCACCTAGCATAATGTGACCATAAATTAAAATCCCCTATAAAAAAGAAAAAGCTGGGGCTTCCCTGGTGGCACAGTGGTTGAGAGTCCGCCTGCCGATGCAGGGGACGCAGGTTCGTGCCCCGGTCCGGGAAGATCCCACATGTCGTGGAGCGGCTGGGCCCGTGAGCCATGGCCGCTGAGCCTGCGTGTCCGGAGCCTGTGCTCCGCAACAGGAGAGGCCACAACAGTGAGAGGCCCGCGTACCACAAAAAAAAAAAAAAAGGAAAAGCTAAGATTCTGATACATGATACCATCTACCCACATTTTATAAATGTTTAATTTCTCAAAAGCATCAATATCTTCTCTTTCCCTGTAAGCTCCATTCTATACTCTGAAAATAGACTATGCCATAAAACTGAGAAAATGCAAACCGGAACTTTATAGAAGTTAAGCCATTTCTATGATCCAGCTCAGCAGAGTGACTTTTTGGTTTTGTACTGACATTGAGAAAATGGCGGCCTGCTTATCCTGAAGCCAGACAGGGCACTGGTTCTGAGGGTGAGTACAAGGAAATCTCTAAAACAAAATCAGAGATTGCTGACCTGCAAATTAATCTATAAATGGAACTCACAGGACTATCAGATACTGCTTAAAGTTTTGTAATAATAAAAATCTGCTTTCTTCTGATCAGTTTCAGTGATCAAGGACACATGACAGGCCTTCAGAATATGCTAACAGGTAGCAAACACCCCTATAGCAAAAATCTTTAAAAAAAAGAAAAGAAAAACCCTGTAACTAAAAGCAGAAATGCATAATTTCTAATAAAGCATTATTCAGCAGAAAGAAATTTCAAAGACCACTAACCTGGTCCTCCTCTTCATCCTCATCCTCTGCCAGACGCTGCCTGCCTACTTCATACAGCCTGCACACCGTGTCCATGTTCAGAGAATCCATGCTGCCTTGGTTCTGAAATAGAACACCCAGTCCACAAGAAGTTAGTTTTTAGAAGGCCCATATCCACACCTCAGCTATGACTGGCACTCACACACCTTGACCCTGTAACTATCAAAGCTTCCAATACCCAAAATTCTTGAACTGATTCTGAAAATGTTATGTCTAGGACACAGAGAGGGAAAGAAAAACAGGATGAGAAGGCCTGGACAGCAAGGGAGAGACCACCATCCCTGGGAACAACACTGTTCCGAGGATGCTCTAGAGAGAGACTGACTCCTCTAAGAAAGGGCTGACGGTGTGAGTCCAGGATAATAGGAGATGGGACGCTCCACAATGCTCTATATCAGGATTTTCCTACTTCTCTTATACTGTGTATCTCCCCATCAGATGAGTAGATTACCCTAATCTATCACCAGAAATGCATCATCTTTAGAACACATAACAGACAAAAATGTCTGGAGTATAAGTTGAAAATGATCTTAAATATCAGAATAAAACAGTAGGATTTCTTCTTGCTCCCTTTACCTCGATGACAGCAAGATAGCAGTCTTTGGTGTCTGTACATAGGTCAAAAATGTTCCGTTTCACATCAATGGTCGCTGGAAAACAGAATGTGACAAGACTCAGGACTAGACTACTACCGTGATCTTAAAACCAGCCTTTCTGTTAAAGGAATTCAAGGTGACTGTTCATAAATATTTCCCTAACTCCTCTGCTTTTCAAAAGCAGAAAAATTATAATTCTCTCAGAAAATGGAGGATCTTAAATAAGGATCACCAAAACAAGGCAAAATCATCAATACCTGACCTTCACACTTACCTATAGGTTTGTAATCAGTTGCATTAAATGTTCGGAAGGATGATCCAAAAGGGCTTTTCATCCTCTCTTCCAGTAAGTCATCTTCATCATCTGCCTGCAACATAGCTAGTTGGGACAGAAAGGGGAAATAGGAAAGGGAAGCAAAATACTATTAGAATCAGAAACATCCCCTATTCACAACTGCAGAAAATATTAATGGACAATCAAGACTTCAGAGAGTTTCCCTGTAGTAAATTCCTCTCAAAGCATCCTCCTTGCATATCCAAACAATATCCTCAACCTCTCATCTAGCTTCCAACAACTGTTACAGCTGAAAGCGTACAAAAATCACAAGACAAAAAAGGTTTTTCTTGAAGTTCATAATGATACGCATGGTAAATTACTCATGAAATTTCTTTCTATACAAGATTTACTTGTTATCTTCAAAGCCAGTGGCCCTTCACTCTAAATCAACATTATTCTCATCAACAAATTTTGTCACCATTTGTACTATTATTTTATCTCTTATGTTACAACTTTGAAATGTTTTTCAATTCACATTTGACAGATATTTCTAAATAGGAAGTATCAAATTAAGTGAGTGGGAGAGGAGGGAGAAAGAGAATAATGAAAAGTGAAAAGTTTATTACCTCCATACATCACTGTCCCCGTGTGGTTGAACACCACTCGACACTGATCTAGAGCAGGAACTGTGTGTAAAAGATGGAAAGTACGAAGGTCCCACTAGGAGGGGAAAGGTCAAGGAAAACTCTTTTCCCCAAAACTTCTTATTTAACCTCATGAGGGAAATTCTGAAATACCACTTTCTTTTCCCCTCCTTCTAGGTATTAATGCTTTAGAAGTCAACAAGATCAAGATAAAGCAAAAGCATTCAGAATGCATATTACTGAATAATGACCCTGAAAATCTCCTATAATATCCTCATATACATAAAAACTACATGAGCTCCCTCTCTCCCAATAGTAGCACTTCTTTTTACTCTTATGTGTCATTTCTATAGAGCAAAAGTAAAATCCTTCTGAAGACAGATAAAAGTCAATCTGACACCTGGGGAAGTGGGAGGGAGTAATCTGGTCACTTCCCAATACAAAGAAAACATGCTAGTAAAAGTCATCGATAATTACCAGTATCAATTGAATCCCCTACAGATTCAATAATACTTCAAACCAAAGGAAAAAAACCAGGTTATTTACCTGTGTGGATACTTCGACCAGGTATTGGTAGAAAGATAAATAATTTCTGCATTACAAACTAGGTAACAAATGGCAATTAAGACATGGGCATAAAGGATACAATCTCAGTATTAATGATGACCTCCAGCCCATTCGGATGGAAAACGCCACTGATGTTCATGTTGAACTTGTCAAACTTGTGGATGGCCTGTGCAGAGCGGACATCCCAGAGGACGCCATCATTTAAGACAAGATCATCTGTAGGATTAAAGGTGGCACAGTTCCTCTTGTAGTTGTTGGCAAGATCTGGGTTAAACAGAGTCAACAGCTTGTTGCCAGTCTGAATATCATAAATCTTTAGAGAAGAAGGGGTGGGAAGAGAAAAATCAGACCAATCCATCCACTGACGAATTCAAACAGAAGCTGCGTAAAATCTCTCTCTCATGCTTTCCAAAGCCCATCAAAATTATAAAAGGCCTAACATTGAAAATAACTGGAAAATAGGAAGACCACACCCATACAAGCAAAGTTTATGTACTCTGGTTCCCATTCAAGGTTTGAAAAGTCTCTTTGCCACAAGTAAGAAAATGAGAAGTGAGACTGCAATAGGGATAAGAAAACCCTCTTCTTCCCCATCCCACTTTCAAGAAACAGAAAATGTTTCTAAGACTGAAACTGAGAAACTCTCCATGTGGACTAACCAACATTACTCACAGAATACTCTTGACAGGTTACTTTTTGGAGAAAGGCATCAACGAAATGCCCTTTTCTCCTTAAAATATCCCAATATACTATCCAAAGTCTACAATGTGCAACCCATGCAGAGACCAGATCTTTCCCATCAGCTTACAGACATGCTGTAATATATCCAATCTTTTTAAAAAATCCTCCTTTAATAGAGGAACAAATAGGGAGACACCACAAGGAAACAAACAAATCCAGATCGTGGGACAAGACAACTAGCCTGGTCTCTTCAAAAGTCAATGTCATGAAAACTGGAGAAATGGCTCTTGGCTTTAAAACATTAGTGAGACATAACAACCAAATGCAATATGTGAATCTTGGCTGGATCCTGGTTCAAAAAAAAAAAAAAAAAAAAAACATTTGAAACCAAACACATCAGGAACAATCGGGAAAACTGAGTATGAGATGGATATTAGTTGATATTTGGGAATTACTATAAATTTTCTTATATTTGGTAACTGTGATTATGTAATAAAATGTCACTATTGCTAGGATATACATGTTATAAGAGTTAGGGATAAAATGTTTGCAACTTACTTTCTATAATTCAGAAAAACACACATATTTACACAGAAAGAAACTATGGCAAAATACTAAACTGATGAATCTAGGTGGTAGTTATGTGTACTACTATTTCAACTCTTCTATATATTTTAACACTTTCAAATTAAGTTTGGGAGAAACCCTCTCTTCACCACTCCATATCCCCCACCTCAAGCTACTATCCCCTTTTCTTTTCATTTTTCAGCAAAATACTACAAAAGACTTGTCTATACTCAGTGTCTCCACTTCTCTCCTGTTCTCTCGTGAACCCACTCTAATCAGATTTTTCATCCCAGTGCACAGAACTAGCTCCTGACATGGTTAACACTGACCTCCACATGGTTAGTCAAAGGTCACTTCTCAATTCTCATCCTTTTTTTTTTTTGGCCATGCCACACAGCTTGCAGAATCTTAGTTCCCCGACCAGTGATTGAACCCCAGCCCTCAGCAGTGAAAGCCCAGAGTCCTAACCAGTGAATCCCCGGGGAATTCCCTCAATTCTCAACTTATGTAACCTATCAGCAGTTTCTGACCCAGGAGATCAATCCTTCTTCAAAAGAGTCTTCCCTTGCCTTCTAGAGCACATCTTTTTCCTGAGGTCTCCTGCTACCTAACTGGCCACACACTTTGTTCTCCTTCCCAAGTTCCTTCTCACATGGGCAACTTCTAAATACTAGCACATGCCAGGACTCTGTCTTTACACCACTCTTCTCTAGCCTCCTTAATGATCTCATCCAAGTTCACAGTTCATACTGTCGACAAGTGAACAACTCCCATATTTATATCTCCCACCCCAGACTTTTCTCCTGAACCCCCAATTTGTATATTCAACTGCCCATTCCCTATTTGAGTGGCTAAGAGAATCACAAACTCCATGTATCCAAAACCCCAGGGCCCAGCTGCATCACTTCTCATTGCCTCCACCACGCCCACCTAGGCACAGCCCCACTGCGCTCTCACATATTAGCTGGCACAACACCCTCCTAACTGGAAAGCCTCCTCTTGCTTCTCTCACAGAAACCAGACTCACACTTTAGGAATTTTACATCCAGTCATGTGCTTTCTTGCTCACCCTCCAGTGTCTTCATCTCACTCAGAGGAAAAACCAAAGGTCTTAAACAACACATTGCAAGAGGCTACATGCTATGCCCCACCACTGACCTCAGCCTTCTTCCTCCCACCTCCCAAGTAAGGGCTTTTCTCTTGCCATCCCCCGTCTTAGATCACTTTTCCCCACACATCTGCATGATGCCCACACTTCCTTCAAGACGCTGCTTAAACATTACCCAATCAGTGACACTGATTTCCTAGATAAAAAGGAAGTCCCCCACACCACCACCAAGCACTTCCTACCTCTCACCCTGCTTTCTTTTCCCTGGCAGCACTTACCATCTGACATACTATATATTTGCTTCTTTATTCACTGTCTCCCCAGTGAGGCTCCATAAAGGCAGGGACTTTATTTCATCTAAAACTTAGTGTTTGAAAATATCTGCTCTGCTAATGAAATAGTTCTCAAATTGTCAGATAAAGTTCTCTTCACATTTTCCCATATAACTCAGAATTACTTCATTACACTTACAGATTCTATCTGGAAAGAATATCACTGAGTAATTTTTTTTTGTCACCCACAGGACTTAAGTCCTCACACTCAGTCCAGAAGATCTCAGTATAAACAAATAGACAAATCACTTGAAAGAAGTGGATTCTAAAGTACTTACATGGGCAATGTCTCCTTTTGTGCCTATGACTCGATCCTGAGAGTGCTTACTGAACTCAACATAGTGATCTTCTGTGAAGGAATGCCTATGAACAAACAACAGAAGTACTGATATAACTGACCTTTGGGACATAATTATTCAACTGACTGAAAACAAGGTGATCCTCAGCCTCTTGCCTGACTATACTCACCTAAAGATTCTAAGCTCCCAAAGAGGAAAAACTTGTACACCTAAGATTAAAAAGAAAATTCCCTCCACCAGTTTGTCCAAGCAGATCCAAAATAATTAATGGAAACTACCTGGTTAAAGAAATGGCTAACTGGGTACACGTGCCTTTGAAATATGCTCCAGCTAAGATAGCAATGTACGCATGTGAACATGAGAAAATACGTAGATGTGCCATTTTGGATTAGTGAAGGGTCTGCTGTGTGATGGGAATGTATATACCTACCCAGTAAGAAAACCCAGCAATTAAGAAAAATAAAATCTTATTAAACATGTACCACAGATGAGGAAGAGAGAAGTCAGCAATATGACTTATAGCATTCCTCTTTTTCCCAAAAGCCTTTAAGTCAAAGAATCAGATGAAGGGGATAAACTGTAAAACAGAGAGACTAGGTTATAAAAGTAGATACATACTTCATATCAAATACTGATTTCATTCCCCAAAGTGCAGACAGAGGCTGGCTCCAAGTAGCAGATGTCAGCAGCAAGGACCCGTCCTAAAAGAAGATAGGAGGCCCAAGGTGGGTAATCATGTGTTTATATAAATGCCATCTTCCATTAGCATTCTAAAATATAAAATATACTGTTGGATTATAAAGAAAACAGAAAAACTTTTAGGAACCAAGAAATGGTCAGAAGCTGCTAGGACTTAAGTAACATGTACCTCCTATGTCCTAAAAAATAACTAAATTTAAGAATATTAAATCCTCCTAAAATATAATAGTTCCAAGGCAGGGGGTGGGGGGATGTGACACTTGGAAAGATGTCAAAGATGGTTCCTCCTTTCTTAATATTTGGCCATATTTCTCCATCTATCTCATCTGAATTATCAGTCAACTGGAAACAGTTGTTAGACTTCCTAGCTAAGGATTCTTAAAGGTTTTTCAAAGAGAAAGCCCAATAAAAAGGTCAACCTCCTTTACTTTAAAATCAGGAAAATTATTCTTGTCATCTTAACAGTCTTGACTTTTAGAAACAGCAAAGGCATGAATTTCATCCATAGAATAGTGTTAATAAACTGTGAACTACCACTGGAATAATATGCTTGTTTTCCTAAAAATTCACAGTACTCTGAGATTTCCTTCCAACACAAAAAGAAAACTTTAGTGGTCATAGTTGATAATCTCCATTTCCAAATGAAGCAAATTAAAAATCTATCTATGTTCAGGTCTTAGAACAAGGGTTGGCAAACATAGGGCCAGATAGTAAATACTTCAGGTTTATGCAGGCCATATGATCTGTGTTGCATGCAACTACAGTACTCAACTCTGTCATGGTAGCATAAAAGTAGCCATGACAATACATAAACGTACGAGCATGGCTGTGTTCCAATAAAACTTTACGCACAAATACAGGAAACCAGTCAGACCACAAGCCCACAGTTCACCAACCTATCCTAGAACAATGATTGAGAATAACCTAGGAAGGGACCTTTACCCTGGAAGGTTCAAGGTGTGTGATAGCTGAGTTGTGACAGTTATAGCTGGCCTCCTCCTGTCCACTAAACACATTATAGAGCTTCAATTGCCCAGTGCAGGTGCCAAGCATCAGGAACCGCTCTCGTGCTGAGAATGCACAACAGGTGAAGCCACTCTCATCCTCATTGGCTTCCCGGAACACTGAAATAGGACGGAACCTAAGCAAACAAAAGAGAATCAGAGACAAAGAACAGGCAAGGACTCAGAAAAAGAAAACTCTGTTAGAAGGACAGAAGGAAAAACAAAACATTTATGTTTCAAATGGGTTCTTCCAAAATATCAGTGACCTTCAGTGATTCATCTTCATTTTAAAAGAGAGAAAATGACCTTCACTTAAAAATTTTAACAATAACAAAAATTCCCATGTGTAAAACCTGGGATACCATGACCTTCACTTAAGATGTTTAAGGAATAAGAGGAGACAACTTGCACCAGCACAAAAACAAACTTGAGAGCCTAGTTAGGGACAGAGTGTTGCATGGGTTCTAGAAAACATACTAGTTATAGCAAGAACACAGAGTACCTTATCAATATATTGCCAATAATCACACGAGGAACCCATGGTTGACAAAAGGGGGTATAGTCACATTGCTCATGTATTCACACAGTGATAATTCCTAGTATTTCAGGCCAACAGATGGTTTTCTGGACTAATTACTTTATGCTGATATTACCCACATACTTTGACTTAAATAGAAAAATCATTCCAATTCCCAGGAAGTGAGGTAACCTCTCCTTACCTGCTAAAGATAAGGTGCCTATCAAAGCATCCGCCATCCACCCCTCCATACTTTGGAAATGATGCCCTGCGGTTTAGCCTTGAGGTAAAGTTTATTGGCGCTTGCCGCCTCTGTTTTGGCTCAGGACATTGGTGAGGAGTAAAGAGAGAGAAAGGTGGGCAGGTGGCAACTGGGTTCTTGCAGCGAGCATGCTGCTCTCTAAGATATTCTGTGATGATACTGTCCAGCGTAGGTGGGGAAGGAAGATGTCTGTCCAACTGCTTTTTTATGGCTGGGCTTTGGCTGTAGGCGCCATGGTCCGACTTCTGCCGCAACACTCTGATTTTCCTGCCATTGCAGGGTGATGGCCTCTCTCTGATAAAACTGATCCTACCAATCAAAGGAGAGTTGCCTGCATAAGACGGGCCAGGCAGAGCTAGTGAACCCTGGGAGGCCCGTGGCTGAGGATGAGCAGTGGGGGCAGAAGGGGCAGAGGCACCCACAGCAGCATGGCTGCCCAGTCGAGTTGCAATGCCATTGGCAATGCGAGGGGTACGGGGAAGAGAAACAGGAGAAGCAGCAGCAGTGACTGGGGTGAAGGCAGAAGAATGGGAGGCAGCAGTCATGGGCAGGTCAGCCTCTTTAGTCAGCACAGTTGCTGTCTCCCCAAGCCCTTTAGAAATGAGATGGTTTCGTATCAGCAGAAGCAGCTCTTTCTCAGGAAAGGAGATCCTTGACTGGGCAACAACATCTGCTTTCTGCAGTCGTGCCAGTGACACATCAGTGCCAATGAGAAGTGGCTTTCCTGACACCCGTTCAATGAGCTCAGCAGCATATTTGCAGAACTTGACATGGTCACTGCGTTTGTCCTGCAGCACAGGCTCTTTCATCAGTTGCTGGATTTGACAGCTGCTGAAAAGGGGCAGTTTGCTGATGATCTGCCGGACAGTGCTACTGCGAGACAGGCCCACCAGGGCCTTGCAGGCCAGGGCCCGGATCTGGTCTGCATCTGTGATGGGCATCTTGATGGAGAGTAAGGACAGAAGCACCTTGATGCCATTGTTGGACTGGACCACATTCCACATCTTGGCCAGAGTGTGCTCACTGCTTTTGGGAGTCTGAGGCAGCTTTCTCCGAGGAGTTCCAGAGATAAATTTGCCAATACTAGAAATTCTGTTATCCGGGCCACACACACAATTGATGATAATCTGAAGTGCTGACTTCTGAATTTCAGCATCATGAATAAAGAACTCACCCTCAGCCACTCCCAAAATAATGCTGATACCTATTGGGGAAAAAATAAACATTTTATATTATTCCTCATAAAACTAATGGCCAACTTCAACGGTTATTCCAGAGTCAGAATTTAGAGTTCTATTCATTTTGTTCCACTTAAAAGAAAACTAGGGCTTCCCTGGTGGCGCTGTGGTTGAGAGTCCACCTGCCGATGCAGGGGACGCGGGTTTGTGCCCCTGGCCGGGAAGATCCCACACGCCACGGAGCGGCTGGGCCCATGAGCCATGGCCGCTGACCCTGCACGTCCGGAGCCTGTGCTCCGCAACGGGAGAGGCCACAACACTGAGAGGCCCGCATACCACAAAAAAAAAAAAAAAAAACTACACTTTTTTTAAAAAAAGTATAAGGAGGGTTTCCCTGGTGGCGCAGTGGTTGAGAATCTGCCTGCCAATGCAGGGGACACGGGTTCGAGCCCTGGTCTGGGAAGATCCCACATGCCACGGAGCAACTAGGCCCATGAGCCACAATACTGAGCCTGCGCGTCTGGAGCCTGTGCTCTGCAACAAGAGAGGCCGCGATAGTGATGAAGAGTGGCCCCCGCTTGCCGCAACTAGAGAAAGCCCTCGCACAGAAACGAAGACCCAACACAGCCAAAAATAATTAATTAATTTTTTTAAAAAAGTATAAGGAATAGTTTGTATAAAATGAAATCAGTTCTATTACAGTGCATCTTTATGACATAATACCTTATATGTTAAATAGGGGAATGACGTCAGCATTATGTGGAAGTCACCCAGGGTCATGTACAAACTTTCCTGGGTAAGTAGAGCAAAAATAGTGGGAATAAATAAAAACCTTCAGCAGGAAAGGAAAAAGCCCTCAGCCCGGCTGCTATAGTGGCAGCAAGTTAAAAACAAGTGGCTATGCCTTGGGCTTTCTCCCCAGAGTGGTACACCCTAGGGCCCACAGCCAGTCACACAACTTGCCATGCTCACCTTAGCAGTAGCCCTCATCAGCCCTGCTCTTAATAAAGGGTATTTTCAAACAAAGTGTATTTTCCTTTTGTTTTTGTGTATAATAGCTTCTATCCATTCTGCACTGCTTGGCAATTACTAATTTTGTTAGGGCTCAGATTACAAAGTTGCTAAACTTTTTTACTGTCTGCCCCAATCTATTTTTCTCATAAATTCTATTTTTAGCACAACACTCTGCAGAGTACAAGGTTTCCAGGAATGCACATGTACAATTATGTATATGTATACATATGTATAGGAAATGCCTATACCACCCAGAAAACCTGAATTCACTACCATGACTCCCTTATATGAAACTGATGGCATGACTTATAAGACTTACAAGGTACCCTCCTCTACTACTTTCTGTTCTAATACTGTAAAATTAGGTCAGGTAAGTAACAACCAGAATAGCAAAGGAAAACAAAGACCACGTAATAACAAAAATGGCAAGGTACAACCTACCTACAGTGGAGACGGTGGAGCCAGCCTCATCCAGCACATCCACTGATTCTGCCAACTGGAGCTGAATTTTTGGCACAACAGTGAGAATAGCCAAGACATCCAAAGCAAAGCGCACAGTGTCATTCCTGGACAGGAAGAAGAATTAGTCAAAGGGAAACTAGGATACAGCCACAAGAAACAACAACAGCTAAAAGAGAGAGACAATGGATCAGAACTACTACTGATATAGTAGGGACTATGGCTCTGTCCCTAGCCATGGCATCAGGAGAGGGCCTGTAAGTCACCACAACTTTAATTTCAAAAAACACAGGGATGGAATTTTCACCTATCAGACTGCTAAGATTAAAAACAAGGGATAATCCCCAATGCTGATGAAGATGTACAGAGACAAATGCTCTCAAACTTTTGGTGGGAGTAGAAATAAGTATACTCTTTTCAGAAAATAATTTGGAAATATGAAACAAAGTTCTTAAAACGTTCATAACCTTTGGCCCAGGAATTTCACCTCTAGGAATCTGTCCTAAGGAAATAATCAGAAGTATTCAATACAAACAAGTATTTATGCATTAAGATGTCCATTAACACATCATGGACAGCAAAAGAATTAAGAAAACTTACACAGACAAAAGGAATATATGTGTTAAATTATGGTACACTCATATGATGAACTACTTTGCAGCTACTGACAATTATTTTCAAAGAACTCTAAAGGACAAATGACAGCTCTATTTACAATAGCCCGGAGATGGAAACAACCTAAGTGTCCATCATCGGATGAATGGATAAAGAAGATGTGGCACATATATACAATGGAATATTACTCAGCCATAAAAAGAAACGAAATTGAGCTATTGGTAATGAGGTGGATGGACCTAGAGTCTGTCATACAGAGTGAAGTAAGTCAGAAAGAGAAAGACAAATACCGTATGCTAACACATATATATGGAATTAAAAAAAAATGTCATGAAGAACCTAGGGGTAAGACAGGAATAAAGACACAGACCTACTAGAGAATGGACTTGAGGATATGGGGAGGGGGAAGGGTAAGCTGTGACAAAGCGAGAGAGAGGCATGGACATATATACACTACCAAACGTAAGGCAGATAGCTAGTGGGAAGCAGCTGCATAGCACAGGGAGATCAGCTCAGTGCTTTGTGACCGCCTGGAGGGGTGGGATAGGGACGGTGGGGAGGGAGGAGATATGGGAACATATGTATATGTATGACTGATTCACTTTGTTGTAAAGCAGAAACTAACACACCATTGTAAAGCAATTATACTCCAATAAAGATGTAAAAAATAAATAAATAAAGGACAAATGAAAAGGCTCAAAATACAACATCAATGAAATAGAAAACTAAGATATAAAATTTTAAGTCTGACAATACCGAGTATTGGCAAGAAGGAATAAAAATGAAAACTCCCATAGACTGCAGTGGGAGAAGAAGATAGTATTTTCCAAGCAACTTGGCAACATCCACTATAGATGAAATGAAGACACACTACAACCCAGGTTATACACAACATATCCTCAAGAGAGACTCCAAAAAGAGGTTTGTGGTACCATTCATTTAACAGGAAAAAAAGAAACAAAAGACACTAAATGTTCATCAATAGGAGAATAAACTACAGTACAGAAATACAAGAGTTCAAATATCAACACCTAAATCTCAAACACGTAAGGGTGGCTATATACCTGAAACTTACATTAAAAGAGTAAATAAATAAGGGTGAAAAAAGCAAGCTGCAAAAGACGTACACAGGATAATATTTTATATAACTTTAAAACATACAAAAGAATAATATATTATTGTTTACACACCCACACATATGTATAGCATAAAAAAATAGAGAGAATGCACACCAAGTTCAGAAGACTGGTCACTCTCAGGAGGCAGAAAATGGAAAGGAACTGAAACAGAAGCAAATACAGCAACATGCCAACCCTGGGTATGGAGTAGTTGTTATATTATTCTCTGTATCTTTATGTATTTTGAGATATTTCATCTAAAAGATGAGTTTGATTAAATACTATAATCTCAAATATGTATATTTACATACATTATGGAAAAAAGACTATTAAAAAAGAAATTAACAGTGGCTAAGAATAATTTTCATTTCTAAGGTTTTATATATTCTAAGCAAAACAAGTATTTTATTTTTAAAGTTAAGCTTTTAAAGGACATATTTATATTTTCTTATGTAATCAAATATGAATTTACCCCTCAAAAAATGTATTTATAACCTTCCTCATTATCGTCTGAGTTTCCATCATCTTTAAAGCAATGTTCTCCAAGTAAATATAACCTACTTTAATACTCTAAAACAGTGGTTCTTGAAGTGTGGTTAGGGGACCCTAGGAGTCTCTGAGCCTCTTTCAAAAGGTGCTGATATAAAAACTATTTTTATAATAACACTAAGATGTTACTTTCCTTCGTCACTCTCATTCTCTCAAGAGTGTATAGTAGAGCTTTCCAGAGGCTTGTCATGTGTGATGTCACAAAAGGTTGAATATAGAAGCAGATATGAGATATTAAACCAGAACATTTTAAAAACTTGCTGAAATCACCTGGTTTTATTTTGGAAACTTTTCATAAAAAATGCTAGTAAGTAATGGATTCAGATTATTTTTAAATAAATAAATATTTTTATATTTTCTCAGTTTTAATTTCCAATATGTTAAATATCAAGATGTAAAAACGGAAGTTTTTTTGGGTTCTAATAATTTTTAATACAGTAAAGGGATCTTGAGACCAAAAAGGTTGAAAACGGCCACTCCAAAGGTATTCCTCTAGATTTAATTACCCTGGGATTTAGCAAACAATCTATATGCACCCTAAATAAGCACCTCTTGTCTTTATGGCAGTGGGTGGATAGGGAAAGGAGGTCAAGAACCACTGTTTATAAATTTTGTTACTATCTTCCCTTCAGACTCCATCTTTTCCAAAATATAGTTTTAATTCTTTTTACATCATCCTCAAATAGAACCTACCCAACCTCCTGATTCCATTACCTGTTTTTCCCTGAGCCTTGTCCCGCTTTGCTGTTTTCAACTGAATGGTGAAAATCATAACAAGAGCAAAAAATACAGTTTTATGTGAAGGTAAGATAAATATTATATATGGTTGTCAAGCAACAGAGAGATGTTTAAAGTCTAAGTACCACAGAATACTGGACTCCAGTGTCCAGACAGGATTTCAACCCCACCTCTGCAGCTGTAGCCAGGTAGATTATGTAACTTCTCTAAGAGTACAGATAATGATCCTTGCCTATTTTGCAGTATTTATAATCACCATGACCAAACACTCTATAAATTTAAAATGATATTATCATGCTTAATTATCATGCTTAATCTAGTTTCTCAGATTCAAGTCCAAAATTTCAATTCAATTCAACAAATGTTTGTTAAGCATACACTATTGTGAAAACCAACATTAACTTTAGCAAAAAGCAGACTTTTAACTTCATGGTCCCACCTTGCATAATAGGTCTTCCAATTACAAGCAATAGAAATAAGCTGCAACAAGAGTTGGACACAAGAAAGTTTGAGGAAGACTTCAGCTGGCTCCCAATATAGCTGCGCTGGGCCATATTCTATCAAAAACTCCATCATTTCCACAATCTGTTCATGAGTATATGAACACGCCTAAAAGGAGAGATACATATTATTATTTTTTTTAATTCATTAATTTATTTTTGGCTGCACTGGGTCTTTGTTGCTGCGCGAGGGCTTTCTCTAGTTGCGGTGAGTGGGGGCTACTCTTCGTTGCGGTGCGCAGGTTTCTCATTGCAGTGGCTTCTCTTGTTGCAGAGCATGGGCTCTAGGCTCGTGCACTCAGTAGTTGTGACTTGCAGCCTCAGTAGTTGTGGCACACGGGCTTAGCTGCTCTGCGGCATGTGGGATCTTCCCGGACCAGGGCTCGAACCCGTGTCCCCTGCATTGGCAGGCAGCTTCTTAACCACTGCACCACCAGGGAAGCCCAGAGATACATATTATTAAAGAACTCAATCTGCCTGCTATCTTCTCCAGCACAGCTCAGTGGTCAACAGATTTTCATAATAAAGCTAAGTAATAATAGCTTTCAAATCCCACACTTCTTGAGTCCACAGCCCACATGGGAAACAATGAATATATATAAATGTTTAATCTTTTATTTTATTTATAACTAGACTCATAATACATTTTGCCCAAAAAGGTAACAAAATGTTCAAATCATTGGTGCATATATTTCACAGCTTAAAAAGAAGCACCACGTAAAATAATTGGTTTCTTTTCAATTTGTGATTTTTAAAACACGCAGATACCAATCTTTGTTACAAAACATACTAAGTTCAAAAATGATAGTGAAGTGGAATTATAGATGCACCCTTTCAGAAAAAAAATTCCACACAGAAGAAGGTAGAATATCTAGTACTTTCCATAAAAGAAAGCCCTTTTACAGACCTCTCAGTTCATCTTTTAGTTCTAGTATTCCAGAGATAGAAACTTACAACTGGGAGCAAAATAAGTCCTCAATATACCCATTTTTTGTTTGTTTGTTTGTTTGTGGGTTTTTTTGGCCACACCGTGTGACTTGCAGGATCTTAGTTCCCCAACCAAAGATCAAACCCAAGCCACTGCAGTGAAAATGTCAAGTCCTACCGCTGGACCACCAGGGAATTCCCTACATCCCTTTTCAAGTATTCTGCCTCCACACAGTGCGAGTATAATCCAACAATGTACATCCCACGTGGACTCCACCGATATGAATGTGCATTTCAGGCCCAAGATGCTACAGACAGTGCTAACAACGTTTCCTTTTTAGACAAGGTTCTCTCACCTTGTAAGGGGGTTGAGGATGAACAAGAATGCCACCCTCAGTCCTCTGAAGTGACTGCTTCACTTGTTCCAATTTAATGGCCAGGTGAGCCTCAAAGTACTTGCGCAAGGCCATGCACGTATGTTTCCCAGTTTGGCGGCTAGCAAATATTTCATCATCACTCAGAAGTGCACCCTGATCTTCCAAATTTAGAATCTCCAAAGTACTGATCTATTAAGAAAGAGGCAAAAGAATGGGGCAAAAGAGGAGGAAGAACAAAGAGGAAGAGAAAAGTAAAAGGAGAGGAGAAAGACTTCAATCAACTTTTGTGCTCATGAAGATTGACAAACATCAAAGTACATCTGTCCATACAACATGCTAAGAGTAGCCATATGAAAGCAAAACATTAAACCTATATTGAAAAATTACATAGTTTTCAATCATGCTGAAAGACACAGAGGCACAAAACTTGCTTTTTAGAAGGATCAAGCAATTCCCCCTGTAAGATTACTATATTCAAGGCAAGTCTACAATGGTATAGTCCTCTTAAGAGGAAAAGAAACTTGTAAATGAAGGAGGAAAAAAGACTTCATCCATAAAAATGATAGCAAAATTCCTCCAGTCAGAAGCTTCCTCTCTTCAATGCCACTGACGGGCAGCCCAGACAAGCAGAACCCCTGCTCCTCACAAAGAGAAGCCACTGAAGAACCTCACCAAGTTCACCAGACGACGAAGACCATCATAGCGGTCAAAGAGTTCCAATACAGCCCGGAAGGAGAAGCAGATTGAGAAAAACATGGTAGCGTGGCAGCATCCTGAAGCATGAGAACATTCCATTAACCACAGTGTGTAGTTCACCACATCAGACAGAACATTGTGGGGATGCATGCAAACCTGCAAAAAATAAAAATAAAACGTAATTTTTAAAAATTTGGGGGAAAGGAACCTTCACAAAAGGGAAGAAAAATTCACAGTGTAGATAGATATCTTTGCAAAATACAATAATCACTCCTGGGCAAGTCATTCTGAGTTTAAAGCTTAAGTTACAAATGAAATTTTATAACAATCTATTCCAAGCCTGAAAACAACCTAAATTTAAAGAAATATTTAAATTCCACCTAAACATACTGAGTGCTAAATTCTGCAAATATTTATATCCTTTAATGCTCACAATGCTCTGTTACACACATATTAGTATTCCCACCTAACAGGTGAAGAAGTGGCTCACAGACATAAGGGACTTCCCCAGGCTCATAAAAGTGACTGAGCCTTCTGATACTAAAGTCTACAAGTTTAATATCCATTCACTCACTGATTCATTCACACACATTTTGTTGTCTCCTGTAAGTCAGACAATGAATTATGAAGCATTACCCAGGTTTGTTTGATACTTTTTTATCTTAACCACAATTAATTTTGTACATACACACACAGATTAGGTTACTACTCTCAAAAGATTACATATCCTTGCATAATGCTGAATCTTAAGGAGTTAAAAAAATTAAAATCAAAATATTACCCTATTAGTACATATACAAAGATGAATAAAGACACCACCCAAGAAGAATTTACCAACTTCTCTCTACCAGAAAAGCCACACCACATAGAATATTAGAAAAATATTCCAGGCATAGAAATGACAAGAGCTTCCCTAGTGGTATCTAAGGACCCATTTCTTTTCAAATGTACAACCCACTTAGACTTTTTTAAAAAATCACTAAATAAAAAGTCTTAGCTGGAAAAACCCAGAAAACCAGCTACCAGAGGGTAGCTGCCACGCTACCATGTTTTTCTCTGGAGCCCTGAGAACAACTGGAATGATTTTACTGTCTCTACCACGAACTATTTGTTAACACAAATACACAAAGCATCATCTGTTGTTTTTATAATAGACTGACTCAAAAATGCAAAATATAACTCCACTGAGGGACATCTGAAAAGAGCCTGAAAATAATTCTAATGCAGTAAAATGGCAAAAACTAAAAAAAAGTTCTGTGACCCCAATCCATCTTGGGTTTTTTGTTGGATCTTTTTCTTTCAGAGAGTCAGGAAAAAAAGGACTACAAAATTTTACATTTTGGACCTTTTCTAAAGAATTTTACATTTTTGGAATGCTCTGTAAAGATTCATGCTCCTTGCTTCTTTCATTAAAACCTAATCCACCTATTCATTTTTTCTTATCCAAAAGTTTTCCTGTGAATGTACTAGAATATTCCCCACCCTATCCCATTCCCATACATCTGAATGGACTGGACTTACTCTTTCCATGGCATCCTGGTTGTAGGACAGGTAATACAAGCACATGGATACACCAGTTGCAGCCATAGAAGGACGAGGAATTTCCAGTAATTTCTGTACTCCACCATGTGCAACAAATTCTGTGGCAAACTTGTTATGGAGCAGGAGAGATGCTAGGTGCTAAACAAAGAGGACACATATCACCGTGGAAAAATCTAGAACAAATATCTCTTCACAGTTGCTAAACACAAAGACTCCTCTGAAGCAGACAACCACTCCCTCAAAACAGAAGTAAAACCAATACTGCTTAAGGGAAACAAAAAACAAAACAAAAAAACTCTAGGATTCCATAATATTCCCTCCTAATACCAAAGGTTTTCATGAGGGTGAAAAATAAGAAATGAAGAATATTGCTGTACATAACGACATAATCCTACACCATTTTATTATTACATAGCTTCCCTAAAGGATTTTTGTTACCCTTCCCATTTTAATCCTTTAAACATCATCAGCTCTATGTTTTAGCTTTGGCTCAGTCACTGACTCATCATCTAATAAAATCCAAAACTCTGCTTTCCTTTAAATTTATCCTCAATATATCCCCAAAGAAAAGTCTTCAGTAAATTATCAAAATTTGTAAATTTTTAGAACTGATCAGAATGCACTTTAAAAAGACCTTTATTAAAGAACTATTTTATTAAGTCTCTATTAGACAGGCCTTTGTTATCAAGTTTTGTTAACTTGCTGTTCAATTCTTACTAGCCTCTCTGGGTGGACCTGATCTTCTGGGCAATTTTAAGGGCAAGGAGTGCAATGCAAGCAGCAGGCTACTCAATGACTTTGAACCCAGGCCAACGTGGATGGGGCCTCAGGAGAACTGGAGCCTCCTGTTTCCGTTGGCCTCCTGTTTCTCATGTCAAGGTGTCTTCTGGGTGGTGATACAGGCAGCAGGTACAGACAAGACAACACAGATTTGTAATTACATGATTTGATACCTGTATAAATTTCACCAAGGTCAATGGCAAAAACAACATGTATGTACCCTCTTCAGAAGTTCTCTTAACACAGAAACTCAGACTAACCCTTATATATAATTCAAATCCCTTCACTCTTTACTTGGCTGATACACAAACCTCTACCACATTCCCACCAAGTCTTTCCCCAAGAAACTATACTATGTATGGTTCCCTCCCCAATACTTAGGCCACTGCACGTGCTTTTTCCAATAATGTCACTATCATAAAGTGGCAGTTCCACTGCCAGATCAGTAGGTAGGGAAACAGAGAACAAACAGGCTCAATCTTTACCAAGAACCTTAATTCTACTTGGCTCAACATAGCCCATAACCTGGCTCACCTCACTCATGTGGGCAAAGATTCTATTTTCTCTTCTTGTATTGTACCTCCATATAAGGTTCTAGTTCTTTTTGTTTGTTTTTGTTTTTTTTTTTTTGCGGTACGCGGGCCTCTCACTGTTGTGGCCTCTCCCGTTGCGGAGCACAGGCTCCGGGCGCGCAGGCTCAGCGGCCACGGCTCACGGGCCCAGCCACTCCGCGGCATGTGGGATCCTCCCAGATTGAGGCACGAACCCGTGTCCCCTGCATCGGCAGGCGGACTCCCAACCACTGCGCCACCAGGGAAGCCCTCTAGTTCTTAATTTACTATTTTATCCCATTTTGTTTCTATTGATCTATACGATCTTACAGAAAAACCAGAACATTTTGGCCAACCCAATACTAACTTCAACACCTGTTCCTTCTCCTACACAACTGAGACTTCCTTTTGAACAAAACAGTACACATAACTTTCTATACTTTTTATTTCCCTATAAGAAGGATCTCTTGTCTGATTTTTCCCTGTTCATCCTTATTTCATTTTCTTTAATCCCTTATATGAGTCTGCACAGAAAACAGCTGAATAATGACACCCATTACAGTTCCTCATACAAAGACCTACAGAAATAGCAACTGCCCAAATCCCTTCTTCACTATTTCCTTTTCAGGACAGGATGCTGCATCTGAAAGCAATCCCTTTGGGTCACTGGAGACAACTCTGACCTCCAGCTTCATCTCACTGTTCAAAGTATAATCATGAGTTTACACACTTTATACACACACACACACACACACACACACACACACACACACACACAGACACACACACACACACACACTGCATCCCATACATAGGAATACATGTTACTCCAATTTATGTCTGACCTCCTCCAAACTTAAAATTTCTGGGGTCTGAAAGGCAAATTTCCTTATTTCTATTTAATTTCAATATACTCTGGAACTGTGCTGTCCAATGCACTAGTCACTGGCCACATGTGGCTAATTTAATTAAAATTTAGTTAAAAATTCAATGCCTCAGAAGCACTAGCTACATTTTAAGTGCTCACATATGGCTAGTAGCCACTGTTTTCAACAGCACAAAGAACATCTCCATCGCACAGAAAGTTCTATTGGACAGCATGGCTCTGGAATATCAGGAATGAAATTGTAACTTTGAATAGCCAGTGAGAACATTACCTCTTTTTCAGAGGTCTTGTCTAGAAGCTACTAATTCTCAAGGAGAACAGACCATTCCTTCCTTTGTGCCCCATACTTTTTTCACAACATCTATAATATCTAAAAGAAATCATAGGCTTACATGCCTGTCTCTCTTAACCAAACAATAAACAGCAGAGACTTAATTTATTTGTCTAATATTGTAAACATCACAGAATAGTACTGTGTTCATTTAGTTACCTGTTGGGTAGAACTATAATAGCCACAAAATTATTCATTCCACTTAACCTCTCTCCCTTCAGATTACCTAAATTATCATGAAAAGGTATGGATTTGGTGGGCTAGACATACTTGCCTTCTTACATTTAGCCCCTTTGCAACCTAGAAAATCATTTACCTTTACTGAATTTGAGTATGCCTCTATTTCTTTACTCATTTTCTGTTTTATATTTTGTCCACTCTAAATAATCTAACATCATACAATATGTATATAGTTAATAACTGAGAAGAAGTGTTGTTGGCTGACAGAATACTTAAAAGGTAGTATGACCTAAGGTACTATACACTTAGTTTCTCTTCCTATCCAGTAACAATAACTGAGGCCACTCTCAGGTTTAGACCCACTTTCTCCTTTAACATTCAATCCTCTAGGACTGACCCCTGAATTTCTGTGGAGGCACTTGGTAAGCCTCATTTCTTCTATCTAAAAAAGAAATTTTCATTTGTCACGACTGACACATCTGGCAATAGAAACACCCTGGGGACTTCCCTGGTGGCACAGTGGATAAGAATCTGCCTGCTGGGACTTCCCTGGTGGCACAGTCGTTTAGAATCCGCCTGCCAATGCAGAGAACACAGGTTCGATCCCTATTCCAGCAAGATCCCACATGCCATGGAGCAACTAAGCTCATGCGCCACAACTACTGAGCCCACGTGCCACAACTACTGAAGCCCACGCGCCTAGAGCCCATGCTCCACAACAAGAGAAGCCACCACAAGAAGCCCACGTGCTGCAAAGAAGAGTAGTCCCCACTCACCGCAACTAGAGAAAGCCCGCATGCAGCAACGAAGACCCAACACAGCCAAAATATAATTAATTAATGTAAAAACAAAAACAAAAGAATACACCTGCCAATGCAGGGGACACGGGTTCTATTCCTGGTCCAGGAAGATCCTACATGCCACGGAGCAACTAAGCCCATGCACCACAACTACTGAGCACGCACTCTAGAGCCCGCGAGCCACAACTTCTGAAGCCTGCACGCCTAGAGCCTGTGCTCCGCAACAAGAGAAGCCACCGCAATGAGAAGTCCACGCACCGCAACGGAGAGTAGCCCCCACTCGCTGCAACTAGAGAAAGCCCGCATGCAGCAACGAAGACCGAATGCAGCCAAAAATAAATAAATAAATAAAATAAATTTATTTTTAAAAAAAGCACCACCCTGAACAATAAAATCCAGAGATGCTACATACCAAAACATATAGGCACATCCATGTCAATAAAATGCTCAGTGACCTAACATTTTTAAGAACTTTACCTTGAGTGCCTCAAATGTAAGTAGGACATCGTTAGTCTGTTTCAAGTCAACATAGAACATCATCAAATCCCGTGATCCAAGTTGCATGAATATGGGAAGTAACTGAAATCAACACCAAAAACAAGTCTTAACATTTGAATTTATTTTCACATATTTCCTATTCCTTTATGAAGATAGAAGATTAAAGAAATGAGGTGCCTCTTCCCCCCGTTTTATGAAGATAAACATACAAACACACTTCGATCGAAAAGGCCTTATCAGGAGTGACCTCCATAAGACTTTACCAGTTTGAGGCAAAGACTTTTCTATATTAGTGTAAAAACACATCAATGTATAAAATGACACCACAAAATATCCCAGAAATAAACACAGTGGTCCCAAAATGTGAACACTACTCTTCCCAATAAGCTTACCTCCTGATATTCTCCTAAAGGGGTCAGATACTGGAGAATGAGTCGCTGCTCGATAGCAGGAGTCATAGGATAAAGGGTATAATTGGTGCCAATCACCCAGGGGGACATTTCTGACCAGCTGCTGTTAGACAGCTCAACAAACATGCGATCTGGATCAGATGATGAGAAACCCAACTTTTGCTTGGCTTTCCTAAAGCTCTCTCTGTCACCCTGTTTTGCTGACTTGTTTTTCCTCAATCCTCCTTCCTCAGGTTTAGTTGCTGAGTTCACTCTGCTACTGGTCTTGTGGGCTGAATCAAGATGAAAGGAGATCTCCATGTCTCCAGAAGCTTCCTCTTGTTCGCCATCCACTACATCTACAGCCATGTCGCCATAGTCCATATCCACAGCTTCTTCATCCAGAGGCAAAAGGGGTTCAGAGGAGAGCTTTCGTGGGCTAGGACGCTTGCTTTCTTGCCTCAAAGCTACTTCCTGAAGCTGTAGCTCCCTCAGTCTTCGAAGTACTATTGCCACCTATCAACAGATATTGGAATAAAAGGGGTTGTCTCTTCTGCATCTTAATTTAAATGATTCAAATAATTCTTACTTCCACTTAAGGATAATCATGCAATTATTTCAATGCCTGGTAATAGTAAAGATTTGATAAATATGTTGACTTGATTCCTACAGCTTGATGAAATAAATAATGGCTAAAAGTCTCATTCCCCATAAAATTTCCCAGAGAACCCAAACCAGAAGATCTGCACATAAAACACCTAATTCACAACATATCTGGCTGGATCAAACTGGGGTGGACCATCACACCTCAAGAGGCAGACACTAGATATATTCACAATTTTTAAAAGTGTCTGAAAATCAAACATGAATGTTTCTGAAACTTTTATCTGCCATAAGTTATATTCTGTTAAATACTGTCATCCACATTATACATAATTACATAATCTAATTTTCAAGTTCACCATTTATGTTTTACCTTTTCCTTGAAGTACTCATTTTTTGGGTCAAGCCTAAACTGTAGTATTATGCTTAGTTTTAAAAAGAGAGAGTGATTAGGTCTGCAATTTATTTTAATTTGCATTAAAAAAAAAAAGAATGGTGGATGGATATAATGAGGGGTGAATGGATGGATGGGTATTCATGAATATAAGTTTAGTAAAATATTCACAATCAATGTAAGTGGTGTGTATACAGGTGTTCACTGTAAAATTATATTTTGCTAAACGTTTGAAATTTTTCATAATCCAGATGTTGGGAAGGGAAAGGGAGTGGTACTATTTATCTGGTACAAAATATCATGATCCTTGACAAGATGAAAAACAGCTATTTTCTAGTAAAAAAAAAAAAAGGTCCAATCAAAACTCTTATGAAAAGTAGTCTTGAAATACTGAAATTACAGTTATACTCTAGTACAAGGTAACAAATAAGATCTACCTATTCAAGTTCAGTAGCAAGAAAGAACGAGTGAATACACTCCCATCTTATGCAAAAAAAATCATTCTAACGTGGTCCTTACCAGCTGTGAATTTTCATCCCTGTAGTTGGCAGCAATGTCTTGATTTTCCATAGCACCTCCTAACAGACCAGTAGAATATGTCCTCAGTGGCTGATCAGCCTCTCGGGCCCATTTGAAAAGATTCTCAACAATTCCTTCCTATAGTAAAGGAAATGAAATAGCACAATTCAGGGGGAAAAAATTCATAATTAAAGATATAAGCAAAGACTTCAGTCTTATAAAAAAATTTTTTTAATAAAACATTTCAATATTGCTCATAAGATTAAAAAATCCAAGTGAACTCAATGTACAATAGTAGGTGGTTTAGTTAAAATATCTGTGCACTGTGAAACAGAATTCTATTTATCCACTAAAACTCAGGCTAAAGATCAACAATCACATAATGCAGTCCTACTTTAGCTGTTAAGACCCAAAAGGCTCCATGACCAAGTGGGGAGCCCTAAAAATTCTATATCTCTCTTTGAAGTTCACAATGTACAATAAACATTATCAGTGCTCTGAGAAGTCCTCCATCAAACAAGTATTTAACTCCACATATCCTACCCTTATTTTTAGTTTTTACTATGAAATAAAATATATAAACATGTACAGTCCAAAGAAAATGAAAATCACCTCTGTGATTTACCACTGAGTTTAAGAAACAGAAACCTCCCATGTGTCCCCCCTCCCTATACCACCCGCGTCCTCCCTCCCCAAAGGGTACCTGCATTACTAAATTTTAATAATTTTCTTATAAGGCTTTTGTTAAACGTTATATGCTTTGAACTGTGTAAATTGTGTGGTGCCATATGTATTTTTCTGCAACTTGTTTCTTTTACACATTATGTTTTTTACATTCATCTATATGGTTACATGTAATTGTCACAAATAGCACTCAATATAAGACAGGCTTTACACATAACATTTAATCCTCATATCAACCCTATATGATTAGGTAAGTACTATATTTACAGAAGAGAAAACTGTCACAATGAGGTTAAGTAACTTACCAAAAGTCACAAAACTAGTAAGTGGCAAAGCTGGGATCTTATCCTAGGCAGTGTACCTCCAAATGCTCTTCATCTCCATATTCTGCTGCTGCTATTCTGTTGGCTTAACTATACTTATTTTTGTGCAAGCATGTCCCTAAAGTAGACACCTAGGAACAGTACTAAGTCACAGGCGTGTTTGCTCAACTTTACTAGAGGAGGCCAAACTATTTTCCAAAATGACAATTCACATTTCCTACAGGCAAATAGTTCTTTTTTCCTACATCTTTACCAACACTTGGCCACTATCAGACTTTTAATTTTTTGCAGTCTGGTGGGTATAAAAAATTAACATTTCATTTAACTTGAATTTTCTCATTTACTAATGAAGTTCAGCATTTTTTTTGTGCCTTCTGACCATTCATACTTCCACTTTCTCTGAAATACTCATCTCTTTTACCAGTGTTTCATGATAAGCACAAGTTCTTAATTTTTATATAATCATACTTAGCAATATTTTCTTTTAAACGTTGTGCACTTTATCTTAAGAAACTCTTCCCTAGGGTCATGGTGTCATTCTCCTATATATTTCAAGTTTTAAAGTTTTTTTTTTAAAAACTAACACTCTGAAAACACATTTTGAGAAATTTTGTTTTAAAATACTTATTGAGGGGCTTCCCTGGTGGTGCAATGGTTAAGAATCTCCCTGCCAATGCAAAGGACACGGGTTCAATCCCTGGTCCAGGAAGATCCCACATGCTGCGGAGCAACTAAGCCCCTTGCACCACAACTACTAAGCCTGTGCTCTAGAGCCCATGTGCCACAACTACTGAAGCCCGCGCACCTAGAGCCCATGCTCTGCAGCAAGAGAAGCCATGACAATGAGAAGCCCAGGGCTTCCCTGGTGGCGCAGTGGTTGAGAGTCCGCCTGCCGATGCAGGGGACACGGGTTCGTGCCCCGGTTCGGGAAGATCCCACATGCCGCGGAGCCGGTGGGCCTGTGAGCCATGGCTGCTGAGCCTGCGCGTCCGGAGCCTGTGCTCCGCAACAGGAGAAGGCCACAACAGTGAGAGGCCCGCGTACCGCAAAACAAAACAAAACAAACAATGAGAAGCCCACGCACAGCAACGAAGAGTAGCCCCTGCTCGCAGCAACTAGAGAAAGCCTGCACACAGCAACGAACACCCAGCACAACCCAAAAAAATTAATTAATTTAAAATAATAATAATAAAATACTTATTGATATGAAAATATATGTACCATCAATTTTAAGTCTATCATCCTTCCCTATTTCCAAACAGTATAAGAAACTTAAAATACTAACTTCAATTATTGCCTTCCATCTACATGTTACCAAGAATTTCTGTTTGCCCTTTTGCCCTCCAAAATTGTTTATTTTGGTCAATATTTCTAGGTTTACAGAAGTTCTCTGAAGACATTTTCTACTATTATCTGGTCTCTACTGATGCTGTGGCAAAGCATGCTATGTTAATTTGAAGGAATCTTTTATACTCTAGTTGCTTTTTATTACTATTTTTTGAGTGGTTTTGTTTATTTATTTATTTAGGCTGCGTTAGGTCTTCGTTGCTGCACGCGGGCTTTCTCTAGTTGCGGCAAGCTGGGGCTACTCTTCATTTTGTGGTGCATAGGCGTCTCACTGTGGTGGCTTCTCTTGTTGTGGAGCATGGGCTCTAGGCACAGGGGCTTCAGTAGTTGTGGCACACGGGCGCAGTAGTTGTGGCTCGCAGGCTCTAGAGCGCAGGCTCAGCAGTTGTGGCGCACAGGCTCAGTTGCTCCGTGGCATGTGGGATCTTCCAGGACCAGGGCTCGAACCCATGTCCCCTGCATTGGCAGGCGGATTCTCGACCACTGCGCCACCAGGGAAGTCCCACTCTAGTTGCTTTTAAAATCTTTTGGTCTTTGGTATTCTTCATTGGGCTTTCTGAATCTGAGTGGTCATGTCTTTCATTTATTTGTAAGATCCTAGCCTCATCCCTCTGAATATTACCTTTCTATTTTCTTTTTCTTTTATATATACGTGTGTGTGTATATATACACACATACACATTTTTTTTTCTTTTTTGGCTGCACTGCGTGCCATGCAGGATCCTAGTTCCCTGACCAGCGGTTGAACCCACACCTCTTGCAGTGGAAGTGCAGAATGTTAACCACTGGACCACCAGGGAAGTCCCTTCTATTCTCTTTTATTGAAATTCCTTTTAGATACATGTAAAATTTTCTAATTCTAGTCTTATTTCTAAGAGCTTCATTAAGGATTATCCTGTCAGATATTCCAGTTTATTAATTCTATCTTTAGCTGTGTCTAAATTTCACTCTATCTCATCTACTAAGTTTTAAAATTCAATAACTGTAATTTTTATTTCCAGTAGTTCCTTTGTTCATTTTCCAAATGGCCATTTTTTTTCATAGTCTTAGACTTTTCTTGGAGTTCTGATTCTTTCACATTCATAACTTTTAACTATTTTAACCATTTTTCAATGTAAAATTCGGTGGGATTCAGTACATTCACAATGTTGTGTAACCATCAACACTATCTATTTCCAGAATTTCATTATCCTAAACAGAGACTCTTTACCAGAACTTTCAATAATGGATAGAACAACCGAAAAGAAAATCAATAAGGAAACAGAGGAGTTGAACAACACTACAAACCAATTAGATCTAAAAGACATATAGAGAACACTCCATCCAACAAGAGCAGAATATACATTCTTTTCAAGTACACATGGAACATTTCACAGAAGAGACTATATGTAAGGCCACAAAACAAGTCTTAATAATTTAATAAGAACTGACCTCTTACAAATAATTTTTTCCAATCACAATGAAATGAAAAATCAACATCCCAAGAGAAAACTGGAAAATTCATATGTGGAAATCAACAGGCTTAACCAACAAAAGTGTCAAAGAAGAAATCACAGGGAAATTAGAAAATACCTTGAGATGAATGAAAACAGAAACACAACATACCAAAATTTATGGGATACCACAAAAGCAATGCAAAGAGGGAAATTTACAGCTGCAAGCACATAAAATTAAAAAGAAAAAAAGGTCAAATTAATAACCTAACTGTACACTTTAAGGAACAAGAAAGAGCAAATAAAACCCAAAGATAGCAGGAGTAAAAAATAATAATAATAAAGATTAGAATAGAGATAAACAAAATAGCAAATAGAAAAATACAGAAAATTAATGAAACCAAAAGTTGTTGCTTTGAAAATATCAACAAAATTGACAAACCTTTAGCTAAACTGATCAAGAAAAAAAAAAAAGGAGAGAAAACAAATTACTACAATCAAAAATGAAAAGGGAAAACTTCCCCAGTGGTGCAGTGGTTAAGAATCCACCTGCCAATGCAGGGGACACAGGTTCAAGCCCTGGTCCAGGAAGATCCCACATGCCGCAAAGCAACTAAGCCCATGCACCACAACTACTGAGCCTGTGCTCTAGAGCCCACGAGCCACGACTACTGAGCCCATGAGCCATAACTACTGTGCCCACGCGCCCTAGAGCCCTCCCACCACAACTACAGAGCCCACGTGCTGCAACTACTGAAGCCCACTGCCTAGAGTCCATGCTCTGCAACAAGAAAAGCCACCACAGTGAGAAGCCCACGTACCACAACAAAGACCCAATGCAGCCAAAAAAATAAATAAATTTTAAATTTTTTTTAAAAAAGAAAGGGGGAACATTACTACCAATTTTACATGAATAAAAAGGATTATAAGGGAATTCCCCAGTGGTCCAGTGGGTAGGACTCCACACTTTCATGGCCGAGGGCCTAGGTTCAATCCCTGGTCAGGGAACTAAGATCCCGCAAGCCACATGTGGCATGACCAAAAAAAAAAGTGGGGGGTGGATTACAGGAGAACACTATAAACAACTGTACACCAACAAACTGAGTAACTTAGATTAAACGGACAAATTCCTAGAAACACAATCTACCAAAATGGACTAATGAAGAAACAGAATAACTGAACAGACTTATAACCAGTAAGGAGACTGAATCAGTTGTCAAAACCCTCCCAAAACAGAAAAACCTAGGACCAGATCGCTTAACTGGTAAATTCTACCATTTAAGGAATTAATACCAAGCCTTCTCAAACTCTTCCAAAAAATTAATGAGAAGGAGCACTTCCTAACTCATTC